ACAAAGTTCCTCACCAGACTTCTGTACTCCTCTTCCTGATCATCCCAGATACACCCCATGATGGCTGTGTCGTCTGCAAACTTCTGACTTCTAGCGACTTTTAGGACAGCCAATAGCGTCAGGCGGAAATTAAAAGTATTATTAAGCTAGAAATAAGGCGTAGATGGCAAAAACAGTGGGAAGAAGAAAGGAGGGGAAGGTGGTTATATAAAATTAAAAGGAGGTTGGGGGAACGGAGAGCCACAGGAAGGAGTAGGCGAGAGGAGGTGGTGGTGTCAAAAATTGTCAAGATTTGGACATCCAGGATTGAATTCTACACTATTCTTGATAGGGAAACCTAATTCAGGGACATATGATTATTGTGGAGAGGAGGAAACTTTAGCGCATGTTATTTTGTAGTGGCTGAAGTATAAGGTAGATTGGAGACAACTGCTTCAAAGTCTCAGTAACATTTACATGAAATTGGATCTTATTAAGTTATTGCAAAAGGAGTCAAGGAATAAAAGTTATCAGGCTTTAAGTTTTTGAGAGACAGAAGATTGTTTGGAAGGATATGAGGGAGGTTTTTTTTGTTGTTGTTGTTTTTAGCATGATTCCTGTCCACACTCCATACCAGTGGTGGCAGTAATGCACCATGCAGTTGTTTGCCAACCGCCAATAACACTTAAAAGAAGAAGAAGGAAGAAGAGTCGGCAAGACTGGTTCCGGTTCATTCTTGCTCAGAGAAAGTTCCACATACTTAAGCTTAAGCAGTATGGAAATGTAATCAGATGCCATCCACTCTGAATGATCAGGTTGGGATGCCGTAAGTTTCCTTATATGACAGTTTATACAGATAGGTATGGATATCAATGTATATTTTGCTGAAATGAACGTTTTAGTGAGTGTAATCCACTTTATTGATGTAAACATGCTACCACGTGTTGAGATGGAGTCTATTTCCTGTCATTTCAGTTTTCATCGCATGTTCATAAAAACAATTATACAAGCTGCAACTGAACTCCAAGGTCTTCATTTGTGGTTTAACTCGGTGTCACCAACATCCTTGTTGAAAACACTACAGCTATAGTTCCACAACTACTGAAAGTGCTTTGCTTAAAAGAGAGACCTGGCATCTGGGCATCAGTGCTACAAACACTGTATGTGATAGCACAGAAAACAAAAGGCGCAAAGGACTGGCACGTCAACTTTTTACAGAACTTATGCAGAACAGTTGCCCCTTTTGTAAATGAGCAGCACTCCACTGAGATCAGGGTCTACACGTGCGATATATTCACAAACCTTCTGTCAATTGAACAGGCAGCTAATATTTTTAAATCAGTGGACATAACGTCAGTG